GGGGGCTTATCAATACATATTTCCTCTAATAGAGCTTTTTTTTTTTATTTCAAGAGTCAAATCTCTTTCAATTAGCTCTGTTCTTATTGCTTGGCAGGGCCATTGATTTTTTAAAAAGTATTTAAAATATTTTTCCCAGAATTTATATATTTTCAAAATATCTGTCATGCATTTGTATAAGCCAGTTAGCTTTTAGATTCCATGACCAAAATACCTGACAGGAACAACTTTGAGGAGGGAAAGTTTATTTTGGACTCATGGTTTCAGAGATTTAGTTCATGGTTGTCCAACTGCATTGCTCTGGGCCTGAAGTGAGGCAGATAATTATGGCAGAAGGGCCTACTAGAGGGAAAGTTTCATCTCATGGCAGGAAGGAAGCAGAGAGCAAAAGAGAGGAGAAAAAAGCATGGAGAGATATAGTCCAGGCCACGCCCACAGTGTCCTATTTTCTCCAGCCCTGCCCCACCTGCCTACAGTTAATACAGTAGTCTGTTCAATTTATTAATCTATCAAGTGCATTAATCCACTGATGAGGGTACAGCTTGCATAATCTAATCATTTCACCTTCTGAGCACTCTTGCATTGCCTGTCACATGAGATCTTTGGGAGAACTTTTAAGATCCAAACCATAACACCAATCCCATTATTCTCGGTTTATTTTTTGGAGTGGCATATAGAGGCTATATCGCTAGTGACTAGATAATTATTTTACTGAAAAGTATTTAATATGTATATATTTAAACTCAGTCATAATGTTAAAACATTTAGATTACCTGAGTTTTCTCTGTTTTATACATTAATAACATTGAAGAGAGAAAGTTAAAGTATTACCTTTTCTTTAAATTGCCTTCCCTTTCTTAATTAGTTGTACAAACTGAATTAATTTCTTAACCGGAGGGAAACCTACAATCTTACCCTTCTGAGATTTTCTAAAATAAATTGGAATAAGAAAGAAATACAGGTATACCCAAAAGGATTTAACTGATACATATATACACATATAATAATATATATGTATATAATAATATATAATATATATATATATACACACACATACATACATATTTATTTCTCTTACAGTATTTAGAAATATGCCATTAATTGTTTCCCTAAAAACTATATATGAAGCATGTTTAAATGCAATAGTTCACTGTGAGTGCCCCTAGATAAGTAAGAAACTTATTTTTTTGTGTCTCTCTACTATATATATATATATATATATATATATATATATATTATATATATGCTTAATATATATATAGTCTTTTAGTAACATAAATTAATAAAGTCAATTTATGTATGTGTGTATATATATATATATATATATATATATATATATGTGTGTATATAATGGATTTATTCAATATAATTATTATAACTTGAAGATAAGTAAGATTACCAAACAACTATATTTGCATTTCATGTTTTATTTTTATATACTTTAGAAATAAGTATATTTCTTAAGGAAGGGAATTTTTATCTTTTCCTCGTGACTGTTTGATTCCCAATACATTGGAGTGCTTTGACTCTTGAAGGCAAGGAAAAAATAACAAATATAAGATATAACCAATCCCATGTCATGACAATCAAAGTTATATGCTGAACAGTTTTATAGTAACATAAACTAATAAAGTGAATTTAGATTATTTTAAATCAAAAAGTTTTCATTAGCTTTTCAATCATTTACAATAGACAGTGTCTCCAAATGAATAATGAGTATTTTTAAAAATTTTTTAGAGTACCATAGAAAGATTCAGATTTTCCTATGAAATTAAAAATACCTAGTAAATTATTTTACTATCTTCTCTTCCGATAATTAGAATATGTTGTGACTGAGGGGTAATGATAGAAGGTAGAATTATAGTAATTGAGGAGATGCATGTGCACACACACATACATACACAAGCAGAGTTCAGCCCCCAAAAGTCTATTTGTCTGAAGAGATTTATTTCTTTTTAATATCTACTGTTGTAGTGAGAAACCTCCTAATTGTTTCTTTAATTATCACTCCATATCTACCTTCACATCTTGTCTGATAACATTATCTACACAACTGTTATTCCTAGTTGAATAGTGATGGCTAATCTCCTTTCTGTTTCAATTTATGCTCTCCTTATTGCTAATTCAGTACTGGAAACAGCATTGAAGTGACTCAAGCTCTCTTTCATTTCCCCTTTGCTTTAATTAAATTGCATATTGTCATTTGATGTAATTTCTGGTTCCTCATTTTACATTTGTCCTATGCCAGACTAAATGTACTGTTTTATCTCTTCCCTCTCAGTTTTCTTCATTTCAAAAGATGCCATAAGGAGACCATTAATTAAAATATTGAAAAATATAATGTATGACCTAATGCAAGCTTAAAATCAGTGTTATTCTTTTTCTACAGTTTTCCATGGGAAAGTGACTTTATATGAAAGTGTCCATAAGCCCATATCATTCGTAAAACTTACAGGCACAAAAATGCAACACCATTTGTTCACATACATAACTATCAAACAATATGTCATGTAAAAATTTTACATTGATTTACAGTTTTCGGGAGTCTTGATTAGTAATATATCTATTGTCTCTCTAATCATTTGGCCTTTTCATGCTTACATTACATAGTTGGTAATAATATGTGGAACAGCTGCAAACTTTCACAGTAATAGGTACAATCGAATCTGATGTGTCTAATTAATTTTTAGTCCAACAAATTAGTTTTGTTCTTCATTACTCTCCAATGGGAGGGAGACATTATATTTCATTATATTTTTTGTCTGCAGGAACAATGGAGCGTTACAGGTCACACACGGATGTCTGTGCTCTAATTAGTCCAACTGATAACATTATTTCAAAAATGCAAGGAACATTAAAAAATAGTAACACACCTTGGCAAAATAAGTATTGTACCATACTAAATAATATTCTGTTGACTCTTTATAAAAATGAAGGGAAATTTTTCTTTTCTTTTTGCACTAGAAGGTATTTATTTTCTTTTAGGTAACTGTTAATAGTTAAGAAAATCAACAAATCTAGTACTGAAAATGCAAACTATTTTAAGTAAAGTTTTGGTTGTGTTTATATGTATGATTATGGGTAAACTTATTGGAGGAAAAAGTAGACTTACTACCTAAGTGAGTCTGGTTTTAAAACTGGAAATTAATACAAAATAACTTTTGGGTATGAAATATAAGTATGTATAAGGAAATATAAGCAGCTTAACAATAAGCCTTCATTTTGATTGTATTCACAAAATAAAAGGTCTTTATACCCTTACTTATAGTCTAGTGTAAGACAGGTCATCAGAATGGAAAATAGGGTTTCAGGGTCCCATATAGTGTTCCAGGAACCTTGTATCCCTCCAAACTTAGCCCTATTATCTCTTAGAGATTCAGCATCCTCCAATAGACCTTTTGTCTCTGTCTAACATGGAAGGAAACATAAAGAGTGTCAAGTATTGTTACAGAAAGTAATGGGTTAGGGCCCAAGGTGTTGTGCATCATTTGTGCCTACACACTATTACTTAACATTCAGTCACTTTGTTGTACTCAACTCCATGTGAGTCTGGGAGATATAAGTTAATTTTCTGCCCCAGGAGAAAGGAGGAAGAGTGTGGTAAACTAGTCATTTACGGTTTGACTTATATTTCATTCCCCAAAGTTATTTGTACTAAAAGTAGTAAATCTACTTTTTCAAATCTAGATAATTAATGATGCCATGAATTTAACAGAAATGCTCTTAAAGTAAAACTCTTACCATTATGTGAGTCATAATTTTCAGTGAAAAAGATACTGTGCATCTATTAACCTCTTTATATCTATCATCTCCTTGAATCTTCCCCAAATGAATGAAGTAGACAATGTTGTTGCCAACTAACTCAAACAGTGACTTAAGATTAGTTATCTTACAAAAGTTCATTGCTTACCTAGCTAGTTAAGTGACAGAGATGGTACGCCAATCCAGGACTTCAAGGACCATGCTCTTTATAATAGTTACATTGCCATAAGGTAATGACAGTCCTACACATTCTTTTCATATAATACACTGAAATGTGCCATATATTTTGCTTGCAATTCAGTTTTTGAAGGTCTTTGATTACTCACTAGATGTGATATTTACTTTACAAATCACTTAATTCCCAAGGTCTGAATTTCTTTGTTAAATAAGTATCTGAATGTTCACTCTCTCATGATGTTTTGATTCCATGAGTTTAAAACTTATTAAAAATATAGATTGAAATTTTCTTAATTTTTTTGAGAGATCTAAATTTTCAAAACATGACCACCTCCAGAATAATATTTGTCTAGATTTACATGTATGTTTTAGTTATGAAGATCTTAAAATTATTTTAAAGATGGTTCTCATATTTGATATTCAATCATATTGTTAAATTAGTCAAATACATGAGATTTACCTTTTCATTAGGTTTTAATTATACATGCTGATCTCTACAAAAAGACATTTTTATGATTATAATGATTTTATATAGCAGTTTTTCTTTGAGAAAGTTAAAGCATAGTTGTACAAAAGGAAAGGGTAACATGAAATTATATAGTTTTGTGTATCAGGAATATTTGAATATAAACAGATCCATGGCCAAAAATCAATTGGTAAATACCTGTGTTAAATGCTGTAGTTGCTTCCTTTTCTGAGAACTATTTTTAAAAATATTTTGCTTAACTCAAGAAAAATTACTATTGTTTAAGTTCCCAGTACTTGTGTGAGTCCTTATTTATAAGGATATAGATCAAGAAGTGGTTCAGAATTTTAGCAAACCAAAAGAAAAAAAAAGAGAGAGAGCAATATTCTTAGTCATGCTTTAAGGACATGTAAGGACATGTCTCAATTCTTCTTTTTAAACATGCAACATATGAATGTTGATGATTGTCACAATTGCAGGACAGAACACATACTACTTGAGCTTACAGGGATTTTCTGTGCCTTTGATGCACCCCATATGTAGACTGCATTTATTTTTGTCTTCATATTTACTAACACTGTTGTTTCTTCTATAGGAGGAAGGAATGAAGTTGTCATTACTGAAAACAATAACAGCATAACTGAACAAATCACTGATGTTGTGAAGCAACCGGCTTTTATAGCTGGTATTGGTGGTGCCTGCTGGGTAATTTTGATGGGCTTTAGCATCTGGTTGTATTGGCGAAGAAAGAAGAGAAAGGGCCTCAGTAATTATGCTGGTAAGAGACTATTTACAGTTAAGAAAACCTCTTATCTTTAGGAATGTAATGAAAAGAAAGAAAAAAAAGTATATGAAAGAACAAATGAATGATTTGGGCTTGTTTTAAAATCCTGCTCTGTAAAATGCAATGATAAACAACCTACTTTCACATACTACTCTTGACCATGTAACTTTATGACTTTAGGCAATCTTTTTGCTTGTATCTCCAGTGAAGCGTAACGAGAGTGCACAGTGATAAAATGTTCAGCTGCTTTTCTCAACTAGTTCTTCAAAACCACACGCAAATACTTTGAACACTATGAAGCCATTCTTTGAAAAATCTGTTTAGGCAACAGCATTACTAAAACACGAAAGGAAAATAAAGGAGAGATTTGGAACCTAGCTTGTCGTATGTCAGAATGCAGATTGCAATAGGAAATGTCCCAGAAGGAAAATACAAGCAAGCAAAAATCTCACCAATATTAATAAAACTGATGAGGCATGAATGGAGTGCTTTACTCCTCACTTAAATGGGGTGTCTATTCAGTGTGAACTGCAGCCTTTTAGAAGCAAAAAAAAAATAGGAGCGAGGAGCAAAAGGAAAAGGGAAAGAAACAGATCAGCAGACCAAAATAAAACAAAAAACTTGGATGTTCTATTTTTAAAAAATAAATTGTTTTTGAATCCTAGACAGAGTTTCAAGGACATTAAATATTGTGACCTTCAAATTATCTCCAAAAGGAGGGAGGGATAGAGCAGGTGAGAGAGAGAAAGAGATAAAATCATAAAGTGAGTAAATGAGAGAAGATATTCAATGCTGATATTATGTTCAATTACATTTTGACCATAATTTACATTAAATATTATCTCTAACAGCAACAATTTATCCGAAACTGACAATATTTCATACTTTCTAGAATTTGTAAGCGGACCTGTTTAAAATAATATCATCCTACAGACATTTAAACAGTTTCTGAGACATTATATTCAGTCTTCCATTTTTAATAATCAGCAAAGGCTCTGTCAAAATAAATTATTATTAAGACATTTGTTTTTTAACAAAACATTAAAAATAGAAGATTTAATTATAATCAAATACAATATGTGCATAGTGGAAAATGTACGACATACCACCCATTCAGTTGTATTGCATGTTATTTGACAGCATTAAACATAATAATCTAGTTGTGACATTGTGACTTATCTCTGCATCTTGTGAAGATTAAATTTATTAGTTATTGGTCAAAATAAATTCCAGGAGTAGAGAAAGGAGTATGGCGTATCCATTGAGCAGAGGTTTCCATGTGGTTGACATTCTGACATTCTCAGTTCTCAGTGGTTCTTGGCTCCCCAATTCCTTATGTTCTATCATCCAAGTGTTAAACCACTGCACCAATTAGAGATTCTTCCCAGAGAGGTGTGCTCAGAACCAACTGCTGAGTATAGAGTCTTAAACATTATAAAAACTTTCATATACTTTCTTGTTTTGCATTCTAGCCCTTTGCCTTCACCCATGAATGTATCAGCCCTTTCTTTAATCAGTCACTATGTAATATTTTATCTCTATGAGACACACATATAAATGATTTTTAAAAATAAGGAAGAATTGATTTAATTCAAGGACAATTTTGTGTTTATCCCTTCACTTGACTTTAGAGATAATAAAAGATGAACTATGCAAGTCATTTCAGTGCAGAGTTCTAATATATCCATATTTGGAATGGTGCATTTTTAAACTTCATACTTCTTCATTCATTCACGACTTACAAATGAAATAGCTCTCATAGTTGGTAGGTTTGCACTTTTAGTACAATCACATTAAGCTGACTTTCTTCTTCTTCTACTACTTCTTTTTTTTTAACAGCCATTCTTTGCAAAACCTATGCACTTAATTTGAAAATATCTGTTGGTCTTTGAGCTTGACAAGAATAGTACATTTCCCATTATCATTTCTCATTGTGATTGATATCCATCTGCTTGTAGAAAACTGCTAACTTGGAATGTGCTATGCCCTTCAAATATTTTGGAAGAAGGCCAAGCCAGAGAAAAGCCTTTCAAAACTTTTATACTTAATTGATAGATGGCTTACTCTCAGAATGGATTTCCCTTCAGCTAGTAATTTGCCTTCTAGCAACTGCTGCTCCAGATGAGAAGCAAATGAAAATTTGCCAAACCACAGATACCTAGCATTACATCTCTGATTTGTGATATTTTCTACATATTTTCCTCCAAAAATTACCTGTCTTCCACCTTTTTAAGTTTTCACATTCTTGTCCTTTTATAACTTAAAGAACAAGGGATTTTTAATGAGTAATGGAATATATATTTATCTTTTGTTTCTATTTTTGACATTTCATGTGTGAGCTAATAATCATACATGAAAGAGCAGAGAGATTTCATAAGGGCTTTTTAACTCGAAGGTCTTATAAAATTTAAAGTTTAAGAGTGGAGAGATTTCATAAGGGCTTTTTACCTCGAAGGTCTTATAAAAATTATTTTAAAAATTCTTGTGTTGGGCTTGTTTATATTTTGGTTTTCATACATATTTCTTAGTCTTACAATTTTATAGTATAAAAACTGAGGAAGGTAATCAGAAGGAAGGAAAGGAAAGGGATATCATAAAAATAGAGAAGAGAGCCAGAAGACTAGAGCAAGGGAATATGGAGAGAGGAGAGAGGTAAAGAAGATAGGTATGAGGGAATGGAGCAGACCAAATTGTGAGTTGTGCATGTATAAATATATCACAATGAATTCCATTATTATGCAAAACTATAATATACCAATAGAAAAGTGAAAACTAAACCAAATAGAATTCAAGCAATGTGATTTGATATGTAAAACTTAGTCTGAAGTGTATATGTATTTTTTTCACTACCTAGTAATGTGTATGTAGTCTCAAATCTATGTCTACAGTCTCTAATTGTTGATTTATGATAAACCCCCTTTTCTTGTACAATCAGGTTCCACTTTGAGTCAATATTTAAATTACTTTATAGCACATTTACTTCAAACTTCAATTGTGATCATAATTAAATATTTGGTGGAATTTTCCTACACTAGAAAACGTATTTTTAATGCAGCTGGATTGACTGTAAAAAAACAGGCTAAATTTGTTTTCAAACCTCCCTTTTCCTACTTCTTTGTTTCTGTTTATCCACTAGAGGAAGGAAAAAGAAGATGTATAAATGCAGAATTGCTTTGCAAGGTGTGATCCAAACTCTGGGTAGGATGCCTTAACTAACTCTATGTAGGCCAAACATTACCCATTGACTCATAATATATATAGCTCCTCTGGAACTTGCCATTATTGCAGAAAAATATACTTGAAGACTTAGAAAAGAAACAACAACAACAAAAAACTGCTCCTCACTATTAATACTTTCTTTTAGGTGTCAGAGGGTGTAACAGATGTATCAGAGAACAGTAATGGATTAAATTTTAGATTAAATATCAAGAATCAAATGTATATCTATATATTCATATCATCTGGGAGGAAAATCTGGCCTAAACATGTTTTGCCTCTTCACATAGGAGAAAGTAGAGGATCCTCTGAGACAATGTTACACATCAACTTATAATTTTATATCTGAATATTAATCATTTACTTAAACTCTTCAGATATAAACACACATCTCAGGTTTTGACCCATAGCAATAAGGGCAGCTGCAAGAACTAAAAGCATCACTGTATATCATATCCTAAGTGAAATAATATTATACTTCTATAAGCAACATGAAATGCCATCTACCTTAATTTTCACTGAGCACTAACAATCTCCATATCACTGCCAATGGGGTTCCTGTTTGCTGAACATATTCAGTCCTTAAACTATTATAAACAATAAAAAAAGAGTTGTAGAAATTTGATAGAAAACATTAGGTGGTTTTGAATTTGAAGTAAATATTTGATAATATCTGTAATCGTTTTTGTGAATAGAAAAAAGAACAATGTAAGTTTGGAAAAAAATCTATATAGCTTTGATAAGGTTCATATAAATATATCAGTATAAATGTATATAACTGTATTATAATCTTTATGATAAATGCACAGTACTTTTCAAACTTCGGCTATCCATTTTTCTATTTGTGATTATTGAAGTCATCAAATTTTAATGAAAGTAAATGTATTTTTCCAGAAGTATAAAGGGTATGTTATGTTTTGTGAATATTATCTCTGAGGATAACATTTTATGAAACTCAGTAAATATAAACAATTTGTGAGTGAGCAAATTTGAAAATGCTAAACACGTCACACATAGGTTTTATAACTGGTGGTGAAATAAGTTACTTGACAGTACTATCCAAAAGCAGCTAAAAGATTTGATGGAATTTTTATACTCTGATTATCTGGGGTGAGTTAATGCTTATCAAAAAGGATTAATATGCTTTCATATTTGCCAAATAAGCATATCAGGAAAGAGAATGAGAATTGGCTGCAACAATGGAGTTTCCATTTGGAGTAGGAAAATGTGACCTACTAGAGATAGGCACTCTGAAAGCTTCATTACCTCAAAATGCCAATTTACTACATAGTTACATTTTCCTCCCAGTTCTGGCAGACATGTAGTATTAATCCTGTCAGATAGTAGTAGACTTACTTTGTATATGATATAGCTTTGAAAAATCCCACTGGTATGTGGGAGAAATTTCTGGAAACATTATTAGTATTCAGTTCATTTTTGGTCAAAACTTCTATATGTTATGCCTTGTAAGCTTTTAATTTGAGATTCCACACAGACTTCTGATTAAGAGCTTGTAATAATTAAGTTATTCCAAATTTATTTCTGATGAGCACAAAGTTACTGCACTGTGATTTCAAAATTATAAAAAATATAACAAGAAAAAGATTATTCACCATCGATCTATCACCCCCTCACCCCACTTTCTTTGACCTTCAAGTTAAACTTTTCTTATAAATGAGGACTACCTCAAAATAGCTTTTAGTATGCAATGGCATTTATTTTTATGTTACACATGCCCTTACACACACACACACACACACACACACACACACACACATACTTGCACGTTTATATACACACAAACATTCATCAAAATGCTATATATGATTTCCATTTTAGAAGTTTTAGTTGTTCATTCTAATTTGTAGTCTCCTTTGATGGCCTAATAGACTAAGTTACTCTTGTTCTACTTTTCAAAATGAAATTAATCTAAATATTTTGGAGCAAAACATTAAAAAAAGAAGTGTGAAAAGATGTCCCCTTTCCTCCCTCACTTTAAAAACACAGCTAACCAATGTTAGTAAGAGAAAAAATGTGTGTGTGTTCTCTTCCTCCTCCTACTCTACTTTCCTTCTTCCTCTTTTCCTCGTCTGCCTCCTTCTTCTGTGACAGAAAAATGCAAAATGAAAGATTCCTGTGTATACTAAATTTTATGGAGCCCATTTTAAGTTATTCAGGTATTCACATAATGTTCTGTGAAGTTTTGCCTATGTTAGCAGGCATGCAGAGATAGAGATGAATGATATTATAGAATATTTGACAAACTATTAGCAGTCTAGAATCATTTGAGAAACACGTGTTAATGACGACTAGGACACAAATAAAATGGATATGTCCTGAATACTGAATGTGAAATGCTTTGAAATTAATTATTTTGCTTCCAAATTTAGCTCTCAACTGGCAAATATGGACCATCCCATGTGGTCTATATTCTAGCACATCTGCAAATTAACCTTAATGAATGATATATTTTGATAGTATTTTGAGTGTTATGTCATACTACTTTAAACTTCACATTTGATGAAAAAATGCTATTGGTTATCTCATAGAGTTAAGTACAACTCAATTTTTGTGACTCTGCTTCAGCTTCTTTTCTTTTCTCTGCTATACTTTATTCCTATGGCAGTAACAGAAATTTTGGATGAAGAAATAAAAGTCATCTAAATTAGGGAGAACTATGTAGCATCTCACATATCTCTTAAACAGCACATTTTTGAGATGCAGCCCATAAGAACCTGCTTATTTGCATATTTGCAATGATGTTCACAGCATTATCTTAACTCCCTTTTAGCAGAGTAAAACAATCACTTGATATTCCATTAAAACGCCACATAACTGAAAAGCCACATCAGATGGAAAGCTAATTAGCTGTACCACTTTCACATTGTGAAAATGCATTTTTACATGTGTGTGTGTCCTAATCAGGCCTTTATTGAATACCTCTAGTGCTCAATTTTTTTGCATTAATTGTTTCAGATTAATTCTATTGTGTTCAAAGCAATTAATAAGAGGCACCATGTGATACAGTTGCACTGCTGATTCATGACTCCCAGCCCTGAAGTGACTCTGTAGTGATCAGTATTTTTTCATCATCTCTGCGGAGCTGTCTACAGCCAATTCTGGGCAGATGTTAAGGTTATGTCAGGATTGCTTTACAATGCATTTGAGGTGTTACCTGAAAAAATGATAAGGTTGTATATTTCAGATCCCAGTTTGAAGGACCTTATTTATTTTACTGTGTTGAAATCCTGATGGACCTTTGGAATTATGTTCATATTGCCTGGTAGTATCATGAAAAGTAATGTTACTAGATGACCTTTCGTATGGGCTTAGGAAACTGGGCTTGGAAACTTACAAAATTTAAAGAGTTATCATATTTAATAGCTCAAACTTGAAAAGCAGAAGAATTATGTAGAACCATTCAAATGAAAAAGTATCCACCGTTTGTCTATCTTAAGTGGCAATATGCTTGTTTACTTGAAATATGAATTCCTTCATTAAAATTTTAGTTAATTTCACTTTTAGTCACCAAGCAACAACTTTTAATAGACATAATTATTCTGTTCCAAAGATAAGATGTATTGTTTTCACAACTGTGAAAAATGGTATTTTTCTTTCATCCCCAGGGATTGATTTAACTGACCCTTGCTTTTATGTTAGTTTTGTTTTGATTTGATTTTAGAATTCCAAGCTTATTGCAATTTTGTAATCTATAAGTTTCTTAACAAATACCTTGTCTATAATTTTCTAGTTAAGTAATTTAGTGGCAAAACTTGATACAAACTACTGTGAAGCTATTTTAGACTTTATAATCATTCATATTCAGTTTTCATTGCACAAATATTACATAAATTTGAGTGCAATTTGCTACTTCAAACATTATAGTATGAAAAGTATATTACCTTTCTCAGGTATGAATCATTTTGAAGTCCAAATACATTTGGCTTCAACAGTTTGGGATAAGGTGATGGCCCTCAACTGATACTTGCATTCTTTGGCTGTTCCTGGAAGTTCACTTGCTCCTTGTTAGCTTTGTGGAGTGGAAGACATTGACTGGAGGGAGTGGCTTCATTGACCTTGATTCTAGTAGATACTAGTGGACATTGTTAATAAGTCACACAGTTTTGTAGGAAACTTTAACATGTGATCATTACATATAATTGGAGTCTATTTAGTATAAATTGGTTAAAATTTTATTTTCATGAATGTTATTCTCTATTAGTTACAGTTTACATCTACTGTAATTATACCTATTCAATTCATATTAACTATTAGCATACTTAAAAGAATCTATGATGATAAGCAATGTGTAATAACAGTTACCTGTTTTTCTTATCTTGTTGGAAGGACATTACCTGTTAAAACTCTCCTGTTTCAATTTCTAGTATATATTTTGCTTTATGCCTTCTAATTAAGACAGTTTTATGTTAATATTAGCAGTTTGATTTGATAACTCTTCATTAATGCTGTGTCAATCTTCCAGGACTACTAGGTCCACCACTTATAACAGTGTTTGATGTCTAAATCCAAATTGTCACTTTTACTTATCCATACTTTTGACTTGAAGAAACTTGAAATATTCTATTAAAGTTGGAGCAAGTGATGACTTTGCCCTGAGCCAAACCACTGCTTTTTACTATCTGCACAATTATGTTAATTATATTTTGTTAAAATTCCCATAGGCTTAGTTCTAAACTGAGGTCCAATATGCAGTTGTTATTAATTGTAATTAATATTGACTACTTGTGTGTGTACATGTCTTTCTGTGTGTTTTTTTTTTTTTTTTTACAGTTACATTTCAAAGAGGAGATGGAGGACTAATGAGCAATGGAAGGTATGTTAAGGAGATTCTTTATTAGTATTTTTAATCAGAACTAGAAAAACTCTTTAGTAAGAAGCTATTATTGTCATAAACGATCACTTATAAGTCTGAGAATTCTAGGAGGAATTAAATGGCTTACTACTAGGTTTAATGATCTATCTGTTGTGCACTTTAGAGGAATCAAGTCCAGATGTTTCATATCTCCCAGATGCCCCTGAAGAAATTAGTAGTAAATATCACAAGGAATGTGTTCATTTGTTAGCAGGATGTTTATTGCATTAATTAGACATTAGCAAATGAAGTTGCTGTTGTTTAAGACTCCTTATTGGCTCACACTAAATTGCTGTGAGTGAACAATTACATATAATCGATCACAAAGTAAATGATTCATGGATGATGAATAGGCTGTAGATTGATAGGACTGGATTCCACAACTTTGGATACTCAATTGAAATTGATAAAAACTGATAACAAACCCATATATCCTCATCTATTTTCCCTTTGCCAATATGGAGATTGTAATTAGGCTCTGGTAATAACTTCCAATCTCCCATTTAATCAATATTTTAGCAAAAAGAGATTAAGTCTAATGAGAACTAGTGGATGTAGCAAGGAAGCAGTTGAATCTTCTTATTGCAGTTTCCATAGAAACACATGTTCCTCTTAGGTATTATACCAGAAGGGGTCTATCAACAACAACAACAAAAAAGTACAATGATTATAGATGCTCTATTTCTTTGTAAATATGTTAATAACCTGGAAAGGAATCAGAATCCCATTTTAACATTAAAGAAGGGAATTCTTTATTAAATACGATGTGAGGGAAATTTTCCTTGTAGACTATACTCAAATGCTGGAGCAGATCACAGGGTGTCTTTTATTGCCTTCAGAAAAACACTTAATAGCCAGCCCCCTGATATTTTGCCATTTAAAGAACTTGGAAATGTGCTATTGATGGAACAGTATAAGTACTGTTCATTAATTTCTTTCAAGTTCTTTGCCTCTAAATCAAACATGAAGGCTCACAATAAGGGTGACAGGCTAGAGAGGACAGATTCATGTTGGGACTGCAGTTACTGGGAACAAAATAACCCAAAGTCCTGGAAATGGCTAATACCAAGAAGCCATTCCAAAAGATTGTTCCCTTGAGGTGTCAATTTATCATCAAACCTTGTGTGGGGTTACTACTATTGCCAATTCCCACCAGTTTCAGGGCAGACATCTGATTTCTTGTGGATTTTGACAGGATCCCAGGCAAAGACACTTCTTCCACTGACAGGGTTGATCTATAGATAGTCTTAATGAACTGCCAAAGTTCCTTAATTTTTGAGAGCCTACACATTTTAATTCTAAATTCAATTAAAATCTTCTTAAATTCCTTTACCCTTTTTAGTGCATGAGACAGGCATCAAAATCTTTCATTGAGCTCCATAGACTGATTTCCTTTTCATTTCTGTCTTAGCCGTCCAGGTCTTCTAAATGCGGGTGATCCCAGCTATCCATGGCTTGCTGATTCATGGCCAGCCACAAGCTTGCCAGTGAACAATAGCAATAGTGGCCCAAATGAAATTGGGAATTTTGGGCGTGGAGGTAAGTTGTATTTTTCGAAATAATGTTATTTTTAATTTTGTTTTTGTTTCTGTTTTCATTTTCCAGATATTTTTAAGAGATAGAGGGTATTTCTTCCATAGCTGAAAGAATAAAGCACATATACTAACATTGCTGTATATTTCCTAAATATTTTATTATAAAATTAGTGTGTCTATAATACCTTAAATAATAAAGTAGAGGAGGTCATTATTAATGTGGAAGTATTCATTTTTTTTGTATTGGTTGTTCAAAGCATTATAAAGCTCATGATATATCATCTTTCATACATTTGACTCAATTGGGTTATGAACTCCCTTTTTTACCCCAAATACAAATTGCAGAATCACATCGGTTACACACTCACATTTTTACATAATGGCATATTAGTGGGAAGTATTCATAATACATTTTGTTTTTAGGAATATCAGTAGACGGTAACTAAAATCAGGAAGTATACTGATAATTAGAGTTTATGCTTTTGGAACAAATACTTCATTTTTCAAAATCTCATTCAACATGTATTTATTGAGTACCTCCTATGTACCTGGCACTATGGCAGTCAGAAAGAATATAATATTGGTATAAAAAGTGATCATCCTTACCCCCATAATATTTCATGTGAAGAAGACAGTTAACTAGTTGGGGTGGCATGTTCAGAGAGAACTTTCTATTCTACAATCATTAATTGCTATTCCAAAGCAAAGATAAAACAGTGCAAGTGGCTGACATGCTAATACCTCCAAAATCTCATGCTAAACTACCCTCCATAGGTTTTTCTAAAGAGACAGAATTGTATCTAATATAAATAATGACTGCTTCCTCCCAAATGCACTTTTTCTTCTGGTCAATTGGATAGGTTAGTTTAGATAAAGATGAGAGGAGTAGAGAATTCCCTGATTGGCTCCGCAATTATATATAAGTTTTCTCCTGGTACAATACTATGCAGACAGTAAATGGACTTGAACTGCCTTATCGGTACCCTGATAAGGCTGAAATAAAGGCTGCCCAACTGGAGTAAGAAAATGTTGTAAAAGGAATGTTATTTAAATTGATATCTGAAAGAGGGACAGGAATTAGCCAAAGTATAAGAAGGTGTGTGGAGATAAATTACTATATTTTAAGGACCAGAAATAAAAGAGACATTGGGCTGGGGTTGTGGTTCAATGGTAGAGCTTTTGCCTAGCACATGTGAGGCCCTGGGTTCAAATCTCAGCACCACATAAAAATAACAAGATAATAAAGGTATTATTGTTGTCCATCTACAATGAAAAAAATTAAAAGACAAAATGGCAGACATTCAACCTATTTAAGAAATGAATAGGAGACTGTGGATGTAGCTTATTGGTAGAGGACTTCTCCAACATGACCAGGGGCCTAAGTTGATTACCCATCACTGAAAGGGAGGGTAGGCGAGGGGATAAGAAGGAAGGGAAAAGATGGAACTTCCTAACGGTTGAGTTCAAAGATGTTAGAAAGCACAAAAGACAAGAAAGAAAAGGTGTTCTAAGTCACATTAAGAGTTTAAACTTTGTCCATAGGGTAATCAGAAATTATTGGTGGATTTTTAAGAGGAGAATGCTGAGATGTAAACACTGTTTTAAATCATTCAGGCTTCTTCTGGGTGGAGAATAGAAAAAGTAGAAAATTGGAGTGAGGAATTAGGAGATTCTTGTAAAGCAAAGCAAATTTAGATAGACATACTAGAAGATTTCCAAACTTGGAGAATTAATTCGGAAGACCCAGGGCTGTGCTAAACTGTTCCAGTTCTACTAAAAGCTGCAGTGGATTTCACATGTATGACTATATAACCATATTCACTTAAGAAGAAGGGCTGGGCCTGTGGCTCAGTGGTAGAGTGCTCACTTAGTATGGGTGAGACACAGGGTTCAATCCTCAGCACCACATAAAAATCAATAAATAAAAATAAAGGCATTGTGTCCACCTACAACTAAAAAAAATTTTTATAAAAATTTGGAGTAATCATGGATCGTTGCATTTTCTCTTCAAGATGGATTAACAATCTATTTGCATATAAAGTAATACCTCAAATTATAAAGTTACTAAGTATTTCATAAGCCTGATTTCTATGAATATCATTTCAATTAACTCATTTTCCTTCTTGAAAATAAAATATAAAGATAACCATCCCTACCTCATAGGTGTGTAATTAGAATTAAATGGATGACAATATATAGTTTTCACACAAAGCTTAACTGCATAATCAACTCCCAAAAGGTATCAGATTAAATGAGAGAATACAAAGAAAGCTGTAAGTTTCTTTGGCTTCCTGCTTTCTCTCTGTATGCCTTTACTCTCCCCTGGGAAGTTTGTATGTCTGAGTATTCCCCACCAAGGAAACAGATCATCTTTCCCCTAATATGCAGACTGATTTTTGCCTAAAGGAATTCTGTTCCCAAAGTTTTTATCAGTCAATAATAGCTTCCTATTTTACACTTTGTATTAGAACATCACAACGTTCTATCTTTGTATCAAGAGATACATGCCTCAGATAGAGAAAACATTTTCTTTTTCTGTTGGCTAGCAAGCTAAATTAACATCCAAAATGTCTTAGTCCAATTTAACTGAAGGTAGAATGCAAAGTTTTTCTTCCATTTCTACCTTATTTTTATGGCATGAACATCAAGACCAAGACAAAGTTTTTCCAGTTTCTACCCACTCTCTCTTCAATTTGATAGTCATTTAAACACTTGTGCCAGAAATACTGTAGGACATTTTTGTATATTTAAATTTACGTCTTTTGCATAATTATAAAATACATAAACATATTTACATGTTTAAAGTCAAGAGACTAGAGTTAAGCAACATAATTTGAGAAGTGGATATAGAATGCACGTCTGGTAGATTTTTAATGCCTCTGCTATTTTATTTATACTGCTGTGTAGTCTGAAGTTGGGTTCATATGTATGATTTTATAACCACATTCACTTAGAAAAATAATCATGGATACTGACATTTTCCCTTTACAAATAGAATACCAATGTATGAATGTAATGAAAATCATATTTTGAAAAATGAAAATATTAATTATCTCATAATTTTGCATTTTACCAATGTAAACTATGAGAAATTCATTTAAACATTCCATCAGCAAGTGCTTACTCTCATAATAGTGGGTGAGGAATTATGGTAATGAAGGCATATATCCTATAGGCTCCTGTTCTCAAGTAACTTATGATGCCGTGAGGAAGGCAGTCCTTCATACAAATAATTACATTGGGCAAAAATAAAATAAATCCATGAATACAAATAAAGCCAAGGTACTCAAAAGCTGCACCACTAATCCAAACTGGAGTCAAGGTTTCTCGAATTCATAGGTTTCCAAAACAAATGTTAACAAGTGCCAGTCAGACAGCATTAAGGATGGGTTGGTGGGGACAGCAAGAAATATTAAATGGATTGTCCTTCCTAATGATGGCAGCACTTATTCAGAGCCTGCTTGTTGAATGGAGGGCTGGTCCAGAGTTCCAGAGTATTTGATGTTATAAGATTCTCCTCCACATACAGATATTCATGTGTGATCCTCCAATATTTCAATGTTGGATATAATTTAATTTAGTTTTTGAAAATGTGGGAGTGATCAAATAATATTTGAAGACAATATATGCAGCCCAAAAATCAATGTAGAAGCACTTAGGCTGGAAGGCTGACTATAATTTCATCTAGCAGGGAAAGAGAGATATTCTATTTCCAGAGCCATAACTTTAGTGTTTAGTTGTTAGTAATATTATGTAGAATTATATTCTTGGACAACATTGTTCCGTTTTTTTGTTGTTTGAGCACAGAACACTTTCAATAACATGTAACTGAAGGGACTCTGGAGAACCTTAAGTTCAAGATATGAGAAACTGAGGTCCATGGAGGAGAAACATTTCTATTCAATTAATATTCAAATATTGGGCAGTGAGAAATAGGTGGAGGGAGCCCAAAAACTTACGCAAAAAAAAAGATCTGGGTTGTTTTTTTTTTTGTTTGTTTGTTTTTGCCAATTTTTGATATAGTATTAAATATTCAAGGTTTTGAGAATAAAAAAATATACTAATACTTGAGAATGAACAATGCTTCTTAAAATCAGATTCTATAATTATTAATCACAAAAAAAGAATGACAGAAAAGCAATTTTGGTATTCTGAAATCCAAAGAACAATTTCTTGCTTATGCAACCTAGCATAATTTAAAATGTGAATATGTGTAACAGTCTCACTGAGATGCCTTTAAAATCTTTACTTCAATAAACATCCACATATTTGTAAAACAGGTTGGTATTCCAGACTTTCAAAACTTCAGAAAGAGTGAAATTGCACACTGTTCACAATATATTATGAATTTCTTGTCACTGTTGTTAATGAAGATTTTTTTTTTAGTTTTTATAAATTCCAAAGAAAAACTAATACTTCTGTAAGAACTTTTATTTCAAGTACTGTGGGCGTCATCAAATCTAAAAGTTTTAAAGACAGTCGAAATGTCTTATAATGAAGAGATCAAGTGGTTTCATGACCTCAAGTCCTATGAAGTGATATTTTCAGAACATACATTATTAAGGACTGCACTATAATTAGATTTATCTTAACTGTACATGATTAATTCTAGTGTTAGTGATTTCTCTTTTAGATTCACTTAGTGTCTTTCTTCTGAAAAGGGAAAGGAGCTCAGGAGCGAGGTGGCAGATCTGAATTATAAAGCATCCTGTAAAGATAATTCAGCATACCAAAATGATAAATGGACTGATTGATATTCAGTGTTGTTCCTGAAGTTTAATTTTACTCTTGCTGTATTACAACGTGAAACTGTAATTCTCCACTTCTAAGTGTTGATAGCATAAATTAAACTCACTGATCACTAAGGTTGCTTTTTCTATAGTTAAATCCTGCTATATTATGGAAATGACTTATTCATGAAAATTTTCCTTTGTTATCCAAGAAAAAAAGAACACATTTTCTACCATCAGTTCTCCATTTCTGCAGTTATAAAATCAGATCACATAAATGTCAAGTAAAAACTTCAGAAAAATGGATTTCAAAGTCAGAGTCGTATAATTTTGGAAATTTTTGCAACTATTTACCAGCCATATTCCATATCTTTGGGGATGAAGTGGAAAGAGCTGTTTTCAGGCACAATTTGTAGACTCCCTCTGTTCATTGCTGCTGTATCATGCTACCACTTTCCTTGACTCTAAAACTCAGTGAACAACTGAAAGCATTTTTCAGTAGTGAAATATCCCAAATTTCTCATTCCTGGTTGGAGGAAATGGGGGAAGGGATGTGTTAAGCAGTGAGACGTGAAGGACGAGCAGTAGGCCTGCCTGTCACTGAGGTTGATAGCTTGGCGATGGTTGTATATCATCTACCCTTCATTGGTTCATGAAGCCCATCTCAGCTGAAATGCAAACGTGTGGCATGACACATTTATTTTTCATCTTCAATCCTGATAGTTTTGGGCTTCCTGTGCATCATTAAATTGTTTCATTTCCCTATGTTCATCACAGATGTGCTGCCACCAGTTCCAGGCCAAGGGGATAAAACAGCAACGATGCTCTCAGATGGAGCCATTTATAGCAGCATTGACTTCACTACCAAAACCAGTTACAACAGTTCCAGCCAAATAACACAGGCTACCCCATATGCCACGACACAGATCTTGCATTCCAATAGCATCCATGAATTGGCTGTCGATCTGCCTGATCCACAGTGGAAAAGCTCAATTCAGCAAAAAACAGATCTGATGGGATTTGGTTATTCTCTGCCTGAACAGAACAAAGGTAACAATGGTGAGTCACATTCTTCTGTCCTGAGAAGTTAACTTCATATCATTTGTGCATGAGATAGAAATTAGTATTCGTTGTTCAATTCAGTGATGCATTACCAGGTTTACTACCTAAACTAAAAAAAAACATACTGGCATGTATTCAGTACCCTGAACAATTCCTACCACCACCGCCACTGCCTCCACCGCCGCCACCACACACCAACACCAATCGGGTTCATCCTTTCAGCTCTTTTTTCAATATAGTGATCAGCAATCCATCTGTACTTCCATTAGGACAGGCTAGACAAAACATTCCTCCACTCTCCCACGACATCCGCTTCTGAGTTGCTAACTGCATGTTCTGCATGGGCTTGTGCTGTGAACTAATCACATGATGCCACTATGACCTCTGCCCTTTAACCCTTAGCCTTACTTTACATCCCTGACTACCGATTGGCTGAGGGATTGTCTAATAGAATGCCACACAACCAGTCACAGGATTTCAGCACCACCAGCTCTCACAACAGCTCAGAAAGGAGTGGCAGTCTCTCAGGTTGGTCTCATCACAGTAAGGAGAAATATTTGTTTGTCACCAGCATATGACCTGTGTTCCCTAACAACTGATGAGGAAATATTGAATCGCAAGCCACTGTCAGGCATTTATCTTACAAATGACAATAACAGTTGATCCTGATGAAATTATGCTTTGGTGGGGGTGGGCAATAAAAATCATTGTCATCACTTACGTACTAACTGCACAATAATGTATTGAAAGAAAAATAGTGCCATTTTACTAATTACTATTCCTTAAAGAGTAGATGAGTTCATTCCATCTTGAACCAAATATATGAGTCCAAAGAACTTTATAATAAAAAGATCATGCATGAAAGTTAATTCCAGGTCATTGATATCAAAAGATAAATTCAACTGAAATGAAAATAATCTCGGAGATGATTTCATATTGGGATGCCAATGATATAACTTCCTATTTTAGGACAACCTCTCAAATATTATGTAATAGTTATCTATTCAATGATTACTATGCTAAATATGAATATTAATATGTAAAATTATTTTTACTTCAAAAAATACAATATTTGAAACAATAACTATTATATGCTGTCACTTTTAATATATATTTGAGAAATATCAGCTAAACCAACAAGTGTAAGGAAAAATGCATTTTATTGAATAGAAATATATTCCTATCCTAATGAGTTATCCTCCCTTTGTATGTGAGGATATTGTATTAACCACATTGTAAATTCCACCTATTTACATCACATGCCTTTATCTGTCTACTTCTGACTGGTTCCTGACTCCACTTACTTAATATGCTTAATTATATGCTAATTGTTTTTATGGAAATTTTGTTTGGTTTTTTAAAATTACATATTAATAATAAAGGATTATAGTGTACTATGATACTGTGCAGTCTCCTAGGCATCAAGACTATGAAGAGTTAACTTTTTCTTATCATTAGGGTTACATTTACTAAATTACTTTTCCTCAGGAGATGGAACCTTCTCAGAATGAAAATGTTAATGCTGTCTCTTCCCTCCAAAATGAGTCATTTGCTCTTCTTGCCTATTGGTAGGATTAGGTACATTATAGAATTCAGAAAATTTTAAACATCTGTTATGAATTTAAACTGGCTTAATAATATAAGGGAATGTTTTGAATGACCTTCTATGTCATTTATGCTGGCATTTATTTATAATTAGTCCCACAATTTTTCTGAATAATTAAAAAGTAATTTTGTTGGATCTTCCTTTTTATTTCATTAAATATATGTAAAGATCAAGCAATATATGAAAAGAAATCTCCATATTGCAAGCCATGGACTCCATAAGACCTGTGAATCTTTCATTAAATGTTGTGTATAGATTGATTGTCACCGAATTTAAAAGTTATCTTTTGAGTAATTGTAAGCAGAACAGGATTCACAATGGTGCTTGCTGCTTTTTGAATCCATTAATCTCTTGAGTGACATTTACATATATCCAGGAATTATATTAACTACTTCATCTACATTTGAATACAGGATTACTTGAATTGGTGATAGAAAGCATTTTTTAGTAGGTAAGAGTGAAGTGATTACTCCTTTTACAGTTTAGTCTAATTGAGTTTAATATTACACTTTTGTTTAATTCTTTTATTTATAGCTATGTTTCCTAGGGGCCAAATCTAAGAATTAACTGCCCCATGGCTAGCTAATCATATATTATGGGATTTTTTAAATCTGTGCACATTGGTGTAACCAATTTAAAATAATCAGAGTGACAAAGAAAATTGGGCATTTCTGAATTATTTGAGTGAACTTCTTACCCTCTTTGAAACACTTTTATAATGCATTCAATATATAAGTTCTGAGTACTTCTTGTTAAAAATCCAACCAGTAAAAACTATACAATAAAACTCAGATGTTTTAAAATAGTATTTGAAATCATAGTTGTATGTGTATATAATATAAAATATTGGTAACAGTAGCTAAATCTTTTAATGTAATATTTTTTAAAAATAGACCATATGTTTAATTTTAAAATGAATCACTTTTATGATTTATTTTTTACAGAGAAGTCATTTTTAAGCTTTAACTATCCAACTATTTACATTTTTATTTTAAGAGAAAAGGGTCAAATATGTTTACAAGGCATCAATATCTGCTCCGTTAAAACATAATTTAGGTACTCTGGCCTTCAGATGATTGAGGGTTCAAGGTGAAGCAGCAGACTGTGGCTTGCTTCTCTAAAGATTCAGATCTCAGAGATTTTAACAGTTGTCAGTTGTATCAAGCTCACCTCCATCTCAAAGTCCACCACTTAGTTCATTGTTAAAGACAAGACACACGTGTTGATGAATAATAGTCCTACCCAGACGGATCAAATGAGAGAACAGATATTTCTCCAGAACAGGGGAAAAATAAGTGTTGGTTGTAAAGTCCTCAGTAATTCTCTCTGTGCTTCAGCTATTTCCAGAACACATTTTAAAGCCCGTTGTTGTTTGGAAGCATAATAATGAGTAGCTTTCTTGAACCCGAGCAAGGGCTTCAACAATGAGGTTCGGAGCTCTAGAAATAGTTTCAAGTTAAGCTGCTCAGTAGTAAATCTGATTGTTCTCTTGCTATGTGAAGGCGAATCACATAACACTCAGAGCCTTAGTGTCATCATCTAGAATACGGGAGGTATAGGAACTTCTTTCTTAGGCACTTGGTTCAGGTGAGATTCAAATGAAATTTCTAAAATGCTGTAGAATGTGATTAGGATTGTGCATACATAAAGTTGAAAGGGAGTGGTCAGGAAGAACAAATAGCTCAACCATTCTTCTCTCAATCATTGAAATATAGTTCTGATACTGTAAAAAGGAAATAGACCTTAGTCATTGGTGGGTTAAGGAAATGAGGAATTGAGGTTCATTTACCTTAAAGACAAAAATTACATACTTATAACCGAGCAAACTTATTATTATTTTTATTCTGAATATGAGGCCATTTCTGATAAGTAAGACTTCAGAAAACAAGTGAAACTGGGTTTGCTATGAGGAAGAGAAGACAGGAGAAAGCAATTATGATTGGCATTTATTGAGTTTTTCTGTGCATCTGAGCACTTCATATACAGTATCTCTTATAATCCTCATGACAACTCAAGGAAGTAGTAACTTTTGCATGCTTATAATCCCAACAACTCAGGAGGATCACAAATTTGAGGCCAGCCTCAGCAACTTACCAAGGCCTTACACAACTCAGCAAGACCTTGTCACAAAATAAAAACTAAAAGGACTGGGGATGTGGCTCAATGGTAAAGCATTCCTGGGTTCAATCCCAAGTACCAAAGAAAAAAAAATGGAGTAAGTTCATATTTCTTTTACATGTATATAAGTTAAGGCAATGCCTTTTGAGTGAGGAGTTAAATTTCAAACTCAGTAACCAAACTCTTACTCACTAAACAGAGGACACTTTCTTACCCTCCTCTTAATATCTTTTGTCTGTCAAAGAATACAAGTGACAGGAAAGCTGAAAGCACTTTGTTTGTAGGGATCTTCTTTTAAATATTTATGTATCCTATGTGGAAAATGTACACAACTCAATAATTGGCTGTAGTGTCTAGTTTAAGAGTTTTATCACTTTCTGGCACTCAAATACATTATTACCAAATTGCATAATCTGACTCAGCAGTTGTAGAAGAAAGAAGATGGACTGACTTCTAGTGAGATCTAAATGGCTAGATAGCCCTGCTACAAATATCCTATGCTTAAAATTTAGCTATAAGTTGAGGTGGGATTATTGGAAGTTACTGAGTCACCCCTGTAAGGTCATTTTCATTTTGCTCAAGAAGTATTCATTCTGCATCCAACTGAGGTCCATTTTTATGAAAAAGCTTTATTTACTTGATTTTAAAAAGTACAGCACTATGCAGATGATGAATTTTTATTTTTATACTTCATTAAGCATCATGTAATCTCAGATATGGCTCATACACCCTTCATTTATGTTCTGCTCATATTTGTGCATGAATTCATTCATGTAACAAATAATACTGAAACTGATTACTATATTATCATTAATTTTCCCTCCTTTTTGGAATTTATGAAATGTGATAGTTAAAACATCTGGGAAATATTCTCACTATATGCAAAAGTAATTGTGCCATTTATTAGTCAAAAAGTCTATGAAATGTATCATTGTGAGAGATTTACAGGTATTCTCCAGATTGTACTTGATCGATTTTTATCAGTGACTTTTGAGAGAAAAATGTTACTCTCCTGGATTAATTAAATTGAGCAAATTCTAATGGAAAAGTTAAGCCTGTATCCTTAGACACTGTATTTTCCACTGAGAGAGATTATGCAAAAGAGCATTTTAAATGCACTAAAATCTGACATTTAAAAGAATTTGTTATGGACCATTATTTCCTCTAACAATGAAAATGTGGAGGCAGCAGACATGAATAAATCAATAAATGTTCTTTTGATACAGCAGCCATGTTTTTGGTTTATTCAGCTCTGCAGTTAATGCAATGGGAAAGAAACAATATCATTTTGAGTGATTTATAAAAATGTGTTTCTGATTGTATCATTTCATTGTTTATAGCTTTTACCATCTCTAACATAGTGATTCTGGTATTTTGAAAACAAATACATCTTTCCACCTGATATTGCCTGTTTGTTCTGATATTCACCATCTCTGAATAAATGCATTATTATTTCCAGGTGGGAAAGGTGGAAAAAAGAAGAAAAATAAAAACTCCTCTAAACCACAGAAAAACAATGGATCGACCTGGGCCAATGTCCCTCTACCTCCTCCCCCAGTCCAGCCCCTTCCTGGCACAGAGCTGGAACACTATGCAGTGGAACAGCAAGAGAATGGGTAAATGTTATTTTATATACCAACAAAATGGCCCAGGCTGCATTCCACTCTCTATTGTTCTCTTTTGCCCTGAATTCTTGTTCTTTCTTAGCTCCCCTCCCACCCTGTTCATTACATTTTCCCTCTTTCCTGTTTGCACTGTCCGTGTATTTTTAGCTGATAAACACAAAACAGCACATATTGAGGACTGTGAATCCTTGGCCTTCAAGTGCCTCAGATTGTCTGCAATCATGATAATGCAGCCTACATTTATAATATTGCTTGTTAGTTTGAAAGCAAGTACCCACAGCTCTGTGAACTAAAGAGCCACTCCTGAGAAGGGCTGAAAAGGGAATTAAAATAACCTTCTTCATCATCCCTTGCAGTTCTCTAATGACTTGATGTCTGGCCATAGCAGGGCGCCACGGTAGAGCGCCATCACAATGGGATAATTGTAGGGACCTGGCCAGTGGGTAGAACTTTAATCACCAGCTCTGATGGGAATTTAGGGGCAGGGACAATAAAAGAGGTTGAAGCCAATGCACACTCTGTAACAAAACCTTTTTAAGTTAGAAAATTTCCTTTGAGGACCTTTAAATGTGATCAGTTTTCTTATTCTTTCTTTTGAAACATCTAACAAGAGTCAGTGTCCTCTGTAAGCTTAAGTGTTAATTGATTTTGAACACAGACACAGATAATTTTTTATTTGAAAGAAAAAAACAGGTCAAAAGAATATACTCTCTTTTTCTGTATGAATAAATCCTATGTCTTCCTTATAATTTCTAGGTCACTGTTTATTTTGACTAGACCTTTATGTAACCTAAAATAGAGAATACAGACCGTTTTTCTTTGCATAAATTTTCTTTACTTAGATATATATATATATATATATATAGATAGATAGATAGATAGATATCTCAGTTTATTTGAATGATAGATTTAAGTCTTGTCTTGGTTCAAATAAATATCATATGTATATACTTATCATTTTTTCTATCTGCTTTCTAAATCTTCTGAGGTTCCCAGAGTACTTTTCATAACTATGTTTTCTATGTCATAGCTTTTGTTTTCTTTCAAAAATATTATTTGCCCATATATATATATATATATATCTGTATATATATAACATGCATTATATATATATAAATGTATATACACACACACACATAGTATCTATACATGCACATACATCTCACACACACACACACACACACACACACTCATCACATATTTTTGTATGTCTTTTTCTCCCTCCAAAGGACTTTATTTATTTCTCTGGGATTATAGTGCCCATATATATTCATATTATTATCATTTATACATTTTAGAAACATATTGACCTATGAAATAGGCAGCTAAGGGCACATGTTTCTTTCCCTAACTTAAAAAAAATAAAATTTTTATATGAACTTAATTTACCTCAAGGTATAAATGTGTTAGTCTCACATGAATTGTGAGCAAAGAAATAGCAGACCTATAAGGGCTGAAGGTGTAGCTCAGTGTTGGAGCTCTTGCTTAGCCTGTGTGAGGCCCTGGGTTCAATCCCCAGCACTGCAAAAGAAAAGGAAAAGCAAAGATACATATTCCATAAGAAAAGATTATCACACAGAATTTTACAGTCTGCATTTTTAACAGAATCATCAGAAAATGAGGGAATGAAATTTAAAAGATGAATATGAAGAGAAAGTAGTGCTTAAAACTTTATAATCATAAAATTGCAAAAACAGATCACACAAAAATTATGGGTAATTTGGAATTCTTTCTATTTTCTTTTTTTTTTTTTTTGAGTCTACTTGAAATATATATATATACAATATAATAAGGCCAGTTACTCATTGAAATAAAACTAATCCCATCAAAGTGAGTACTAAACTTATCACTTGATTTTGTTTTATCTAGCAGTAGAATTGGAAATACTAATTTGGCAATGAAATAACACATGCTATTGCAGACTTTTATCTTTTGACAAAATTGTTTTCAGAATATCAAGATATAAAGCATAAACTTATTTCTATTATTTGGGGATTTTAATTTGTTTAAATATTCATCCAAAATGCATGATATTAAAAAATCCCCTTTTAATAATAATAATATCAACTTGATTTTTTAAATAGGTAAATTATATATGTTGAACATATACATGTATATGTATATATCTACATGCATGTGTATATGTATTCATATGTATATTTGAGGTCTTTTTAGGATGTATTTTAGTCCTTATTTACCTTTGAATTTTTATCACTTTACCTAGTATTTGCTGAAAAAAAGTCATTCTTGCTCAAAGTAATGGTTAGGTCTTAAACAGTTAATAATACTAACTGCAGAATTAGATTTACTTCTATTTTAGTTTTTTTTTCAAAGCATATTGTAAGTTTTGTTTCATTTGTTTGTGATGAAAACATATTTAAAGTCAATGCAAAAAGAACAAATTAAACTTACTAAGCTGAGGCTGATATTGTTCCTTTGCATATAATCTTTACATTTTGGTGTTTTCTAATGTGCAAACCTCACACTACCAAAAAGGAAATATTATTATACTCAGGTTGTAGTCTGCTATTCATGAAATTAACATTGACTATTTCACAGACGAGAACTTCTATAGAATCTTTTTATATTTTAGTGTGAAAACTTTATTATTTAGGCTTGAGGTTTTCTTCATATACAAAGTACAAAAAGTTTAGAATTAATTTTTTGCTTTTGATAATTTTTACTTCTATCCATCAAGGATCCTGCAGTTATACTACTTACAGTGATATACAGATTATGACACTTTTATTTCTAACATCATAATAAATAATTTAACCCACAAATATTTCTATCAAGTATATAATAAGTGCTAAGCATCGTACTTGGAAGAGACATAGGAGACACAAGATAAATGTACAATTACTAGGGAAAACTGACCTGTGACCCAGAGGGGAAGATAGAAAGCACATTCTAGATAGTAACCCCCTTCACAACACATATCCATCTCCATCTCTCTGTCTCTGTCTCTTTCTCTCTGACACACACGATTTTGTACAATGAACTCTTGGGGAATGTTGTATACAAAATAATAATTTGTCTACGCCAAGGAGTAATCATAGATGCCAGGTAAGCAGGTAAGTCTTCAAAAAGCTGATAGCTGAAGAATATTGCCGTGAATCTTGAATCATTTCTTCATAAAGAACATTACCAAGTTGGGTGGTTGTTAGATGCCAGATATAGAGCAAAAAGTAAGGACAAAGGAGAACAAGAAATAAGTCTGTAATCTAATGCATCTTATGTACTAGAAGTAGGTCGTTAATCAATAGCTGCATCGAAACAATACTAAGGTCACTATTTGAACAAATGGAAAGAAATTTCTCTGGGGAAAGATAAAAATATAAAATTAAAATTAATACTATGTGTGATGAGAAAATGAGAGTATAAATAGCTCCATTGGTCTTCCTTCGGAAACCCTGCCCTATTCTAGTTAGAGGTATCTGCTTTTCTCTTAGTTGCCCCTATTCAGTACCACTCCTTTCCATGCCCTACCCCCAGAACTTTATTTTAATTACTTGTCTGCATCCTTCAGCAATTGGTGTCTTCTGTATGTGGTTTTATGCGCTTTAAACCTACATTTTGTAGGACAACATCTGACATGGAGTCTTAGTTTTCATCGTGAATCCTTAATGCCATAGGAAAATTCTGATTTTTGAATACAGATGATGGATTGGAGGACATGATGCTGAAGGACATGAGACTGCAGGTGGATCACATACAAGATATCATAGCATATGAATAACTGATATAAAATTGCTAAGGCAGTAAAATAAGACAATGACAGTGGGTAGGTGAGAAAGGAGTAGATTTAGGCATAATACCTAGCTGTTAAAAAAACTGTGATCTGGAAAATATAGTCTAGTTTTTGTTACAATTTTTAGTATAATTTCTAAGTGTTTAGAAATCAGCAGTTTTCTTTCTAAGCATTTCTTGGACCAATCTTTCCTTACAATACTAAATAGCAAAAGTTATCAAAGCATTGTCCAAATAACAAAATATTTATTTGTTAATTCAATAATATGATAACAATGCTAAATGTTCTCTCTCATCAATATGCATCTTCAGTTAGACAAAATAGTGTTAAAATGTATTAGTTCTTCACTATAAATATAATACATTTTATTATAGTCATGATGCTAGGAAGCATTGAATAGTAATTAAGTATAAAACTGGTGCTTTGCTTTGTTATTGCAATTAGAGATTGGCAAGCTTTTGCTAGTGTTGAACTTTATTGTATTTTTATTAGTAATTTGATATTTGTATTTGGCCTTTAACAAGTTAGTTCACACGCGGCATTGATTTGCCGTCATCTTTATCATTATTCATCAGGCAAGACATAACGTGACGCCTCATATTTCACTGACAGAATGTCAAAAGAACAAGCACTTCCCTAGGAAAGGTTGGCCAGAAGAACTATGGTTTGGCATTAGGAGAATTTTCATTCATTTTAATGTTACACAAGAAAAAGATGAAATTCTATCTCTCAAATAAGATGTATATTGTAAAATGTGAAGGAAACTATCAAAACAGACGTACATTTTTATAAACTTCATAGGCACATCTGTAGTCTTTTCATCCTTCCTTAGTAGCTGCATGAACTAAGCCTAAATTATCTGTTCCTCTGGAATGGATCAAGACTTGAATATTTGAGAGATGATGAACAATTCTTCACCATTATGTTTTGCACTATATTCCAGCTTCCCTTCCTCTACTTTCATATTTTTCTTCTTTGGATATTCTTTCCTTCTTTGTTCATTTATCTAATGTTGGTACAAGTCACTTTGAATCCATGGACTTTTCCCAGCTTTGCTTATATATTGCATGATACAGAGTTGGTATATTAAAGTTTTAGATTAACTTTGAAAAAGGATGTAGAAGAATTGGTGAAAAAATGTATAGTATGTTAATGAAATAGGTGATGAAATATGTTTTAGTCACTTAATACACTATGCAATGCATTTACATAGTATTAAAAATAATGTTTTAATGGTTAGACACTTCTTTGCCTGATCTTATTTGAATAACAAAAATGAATCTGATACAACTTACTACCATTTTTTTCTATTACCTTAACACATGTGATGCATATAACATATACTTTTCCTTTCTCTTATGTTCTTTTTTTGTTTTCATTCCATAGGTATATCTCTAGTAGATTATTGAAAGTAAGAACAGTTTATTATTTATGGACTACACAAATTTTAGGAGATAACTGGCTAATTTCACTTGAACGATTAAGTATATAGTTTTGTATTTAAAAGTATAATATATCTGGGAATAAACCAAGTAAAGAAAGTGCAACTATGAATTTCTGGCACAAAAAAAAAAGGTGCTCTTTTCTATGGAATTCTACAAAGTAAATGTAAATTTAACTATTGATGAAGTGCAACAGTAAGCACATTCTATACTGAAAAAGGACAATTATTTTATGACTAGCTTTCTTATAGATATTTTTTTGATTTAATAATATGACATTTAAAGTTAAGTAAATAAGAAAATAAACCTAAGTATTTTTATTAATTAAGCAATTTGTGTGTTTTCATTTCAAATCAGTAAATATACTTATAACCTACTATTTTTAAGGTATGATGTTAGGGGTAACAGAACAAGAACAGTTCAGTGTTATAACTCTAATGTAGCTTAAATCCACTTGAGAAAAAGATACTATAAACATGTGAAAAGTATAAAGATATGAGAGTTCACCTATAGCTTGAGGATTTACCAGATTAAGATAGGTAAAATTGGAAGCATCCAGTTTATTTGAAATAAGTTGAACTCTATAAACAAATGTACCAGAATAGAAAAGTACATAGACAAGAGGAGACAAACCAATTTAGTTTGAGCAGAAGATTCGTGTTGAGAAACTATAAAACCTATCCTAAAGGTAGACTAAAGCTTAAATATATTTAATAAATAGAATAGATAAGAGAAACGAAATTGGAAGACCATTCTCAGATTTTCATAGAAGAAAATTGTAAGTGGTGCTCTGCTTCACCTGTGCCCAATTTTTTTTTTCTATCTTTGGAAGATATTGCCATTTAGGGAACTATCTAAATTGTTCCAATACCATTTCCCTTCCACATATATCACTTAAAATTTTCCATTTTTAGTGATCACTGTAGCCTTGCCCAACCCCAAAACAATATTAGGCCTTCCAAATCAACTCTATAGTACCCTGTATTTTTAATAATTTACTTATTATCAATCTGCTGAATTGTATGCTATATGAAATAAAGTCAGGACCCTAACACATAACTGTTCGGGAAAAATGATGATAAATTCAGGGTTACTTTAGAAAGAGATTTTATTTTTTAGACCAGTTTTGGGTTCACAAGAAAATGAAGTAAAGCATAGAGATTTATCCCAGCTTTCACACATGCATAATCTCTTATTATCTCTCACCAAAGTGGTGCACTTGTTCTAGTTGATGAACCTGCATTGGAACATCATTATCACCCAGAGTGCATCATTTCCCACAGGGTTTACTCATCATATGGTACATTCTGTGGTTTGGATAGATTCAGGTTGACATGTATCTACCATTATTGTATCATACAAAATATTTTCACTGCTCCAAAATCCACTTTGCTTTTTGCCTATCTCTCACTCCCCAGAGTCTGGCACTACTGATGTTTTTACTGTTTTCATGGTTTTGCCATTTCTAGAATGTTCTGGAATTGGAAATATACAATCTATACCCTTTGTATATTGACTTCTTTCACTTACCAAGGTGCATTTAAGTTTTCTCCATGTCTTTTTATGACTTGAAGCCCAATTCTTTTAAACATTGAATAATTCTCCATTGTCTGGATGTATCTGTTTATTTATTCAACTTCTGGGGATATCTTAGCTACTTCCAAAATTTGGCAATTATAAATAAAATTGCTATATATGTCCACGTGCAGGTTTTTATGATATATTCCGTTTTTAACAAAATGATTAAAATTATTCTCAAGTGAAGATATTTAGCAGACAGTGGATCTGTATGAGTTACAGTTTTTTTATAAGGGAGATCAAGACTAGTTATGCATAGTTGTGATATGCATAGTTAATTCTAATTTTAGGTACTAGGCACTAGCAATAGAGAAGAGTATTAAAAAAGTTCTTGGACTTAAGGATCTCACAAAATAATAGGACAAATGGGACACAGAGACAAATAATCCCAATATAATATGGGAAGTACCACAATGTAGGTATTATAAAATTCTAATCAGTTGTATATGGAAATGGGAGAGAAGGTTTCACAAAACTAACCACCTTTGAGGTGAGCAGGAACCCACAGGCAGATAGATGATTTGAGAACAGTCATATGCAGACCCAGAGTTTAGGAAAAAAATAGAAAGTAGGCTGATGTTGGGGAAATAGTGAGAAACAGAGCTAAAATAACAGATTAATCAGTTGGAGAAGGGTCTTTTAAGCCAGCTAATGAGTTTGGACTTTTCTTGTATTAGTTATGATCTTATGTGTAGGTGTGATGTGAATTAACATCCAGTTGCCTGCATTAAAGATAGGGTGGAAAAGAAGATAAGAGACTCAGAAAGCTAGTGAACTATTTTATAGAGGGTAACTGATCTATAATCATGGAAGAGGAGATTCAGGAGATATTTAAGATGTTAAATTAAGAAGACAATTAAATCCTTTAATATTTTTATCTTATACTTAAAAATCTATAAAAAAAGTATATTAGGACTTATTTGATTTCTGAAAACATTAGGATTACAGAAAAGGTATAAGAAGAAATTCTGCTGATTTTGTGCCACAACAAAAACAGTTTAATTTTTCATATTCTTGGACCATAATCCCCTTTCAAGATGTCATTTAAACATGAAATCTAAGTATTTAAAATAATTGTTTTTTGTGCACTTAAAATATGTCAATGGGGTTCATTTCATATTAAATGTTTTACTACAATAAAACAATTTTAAAAAATATATATATTTTGTAGGGCAAGGTTTTGAACTTCTGTTTTCTGATTTTAATTCAATACTCAATGTAGGCAGAAGCATTTGATTTTACTGAGAAAATTAAGAGAAATGAACTAATATTGAGTATAATTTGTGTCATGAAGTCTAATGACTGGAATATCATATAGAAAGGTTGTCATAAGTCTAGAATAAAAGCAAATCAAGTTCTCAGATACTTCTTACATGGTCAGTCAGCTCTATTGCCATATTCTGCTGGTGCATAAGGATAAATAAGAGAAGGAAGCAGTTAAGTCTACAAGCACTAAATTCATTAATTGTCCTTAATTAGCAATTTCGTGTTTCCACATGAGTAACTTTGTTGGGAAGTTATTGCTTTTTGTAACTGTGGGGTAACAATTAGCCAAAAAGATCTTTAAAGAATAAATTGAGATACTGAGATAACAGTTGTAATTACAATTTTAAATTAGGTGATTTACTATAGTAGCACTGACAATGTGATCAGGACGAAATAAACTGAGAGAACATTTTAGACACCATGTGGTTGCTGTTTATTGTCAGTGTAGCCATTTTTGTTTGTCTATTAACGTGCATTTTTTTCCTCATCTAATTTCAGCTATGACAGTGATAGTTGGTGCCCACCATTACCAGTACAAACATACTTACACCAGGGTATGGAAGATGAACTGGAAGAAGATGACGATCGGGTCCCAACTCCACCTGTTCGAGGCGTGGCTTCCTCTCCTGCTATCTCCTTTGGACAACAGTCTACTGCCACTCTTACTCCATCCCCACGGGAAGAGATGCAACCCATGCTGCAGGCTCACCTGGATGAGCTGACAAGGGCATATCAGTTTGATATAGCAAAACAAACATGGTAAATATATTCACTGAGTCAAGGGATCTATTCTTTCTGCACATGGAAATGTCCTTTTATATAAATTCACAAGACGTATTCATAAAACTATACACATGAGGATAAAATTTTGATTTTGTATACTCCTTAATCATTTAGAAAATGATTTAACTACTACAGAAATGTTAATTTGACCAAAGTCGCATAGCTAGTTAGAGAGTAAGCTAGAGCAAGAATTCAGGTCTGCTGAAATTCAGTCTAAAGTGCTTTTTGGCTACACTGGAATCTTCTAATTTACAACCGATTTAGCTTCAATTAGCTTATCCTTGAACTCACTTTTAATGCCATAATGAAGGACTCCTTTTGGATTCTTCAAAGTGCCTGTGATTAATTCTGCAAGTGGTTGTGAATATGTAAATGCAAGCTTCTGCAAATCACTTATGGTCAGTGTCAGTTATTAAAAGACCCTCTTTGGGCAGAATTAAACATATCAGAAAAATAACAAATTTACTAACAGTAAATGCATTTTTTAAAATCACAGAGAATAGATTAAAAACCCAAACTTCATTTTTTTTTTCTTTTGGTACCAGGGATTAAACCCAGGGTCACTTAACCACTAAACCACATGCTCAGCTGTTCCCCCCACCCCCACCTCAGACAGGGTCTCTCTAAGTTTCTTAGGGCCTCACTAAATTGGTGTCTTTGAATTTGTGATCCTCCTGCCTCAGCTTTCTGAACCACTGGGATTACAAGCCTGTGCCACCACACCAGGATCTATTGCTCTATTCTTCTAATTATTAGAAAACTTTCATAAATTATAGATGCAATTCATATAGGTATCTTGTACAAATATGGTAGATCATAATTTTATAGGGTTGGTTGTTTTTTCCAATGTTTTCCTCTCTGATAGTGATATATAGGCCTGCACCCTTGAAAACAAAATCTCTGTTACATTCTTTGAATTATGTTCTCTTGATTTATACCCTGTGCTTGAAATCATGGTAGCTTTTTTAAAAGATAGTATTATCATTCTTTTTATGGGAGGGTAATTCTAGCTACTAGAGTAAGTTGATTATGAGATGACTCTTATTCTCAGTGTTAATTGACTATTTTTAAAATATAACAGCTATATTAAAATATAACATAGTTAACTATACATACAAAGAGAATCTCAAATAGGTATGTCACTTAAAGCTGTATGAACATGCTCTTTCCTTAGGATAAAAGGGTCTTGAACATTTTCTCATTTTTTTCTAAAGATTAAAGACAACCTCGTATTACACATAATTATTTTATGATACATCACTGGTTAAAATGAAGCCAATTACTTAAAGAGTGATAGGATTCTCTTCAAGGTTAACTGGTGAAATCACAACTTTAAGTCATTTGAAGCAGAGACTTTGGCTCAGGGGTTCTCAAATTGGTGTGTGTTTTGAAATCATATGGAGAACTTTAAAATATATTGGTCCTAAGTCCCACCTCTAAGCAGATTCTGATTCCATGCTGAGCTTTGACTGAGGACAGCCCAAGTTGGGGAAGTTACCATAGAGGTGAACCTGCTTCCTATCTGCATAACTAGGGGCAACTTGCTTACCACTTGCACGCTATAGTTAATGTGTTTAAAATGATGTCAGAAATAATAGCTCATGTATAAAATCAAAGGGCAGTCCTCAGGCCACTCTCATTTCTGATAAACAAATACAAATATCAGGGTCCTGAGACCACACTGAAATTCAAGAATTCACTAGAAGAATTTATAGAAATCTATTATTCTCAAAGACACAGTCAACTACTGTAAAAACATATAAAGTCAGCAAAGAGAAGAGTTATGAGGCAGAGTCTAGAAAAGTCCCAAAAGCAGAGCTTCTAGTTGTTTCTTCCAATTGGAGTCAAGGACAGCACTACTTTCCCTAAAGTGTTAGGATACACAGGGGATATTGCCAGACTTGGAAATGAGTTTCAAAAGACAACAGTAAAAGAACATAGCACTTACTCTTTAATCTCGCTTAAATAGAAGGGGTCTTTAAGATACTTTTGTATGACAGCAATGAAAAGACTCTGTAAAAACTTGTAGTACATTTGCTTTTAAATGACATTAAGAAATAACATTGCTGACGGCTGCAGTGGCGCATACCTATAATCCCAGTAGCTCTGGAGGCTGAGGTAGGAGGATTTCGAGTTCAGAGCCAGTCTCAGCAATGGCGAGGCATTAAGCAACTCAGTAAGACCCTGTCTGTAAATAAAATACAAAATAGGGCTGGGGATATGGCTCAGTGATTGCATGTCCCTTTCTTGGTACCTCCCACAAGAAAGGAAGGAAGAAAGGAAGGAAGGGAGGGAGGGAGGGAGGGAGGGGGAGGGAGGAAGAAAGGAAAGAAGAAAGAAAATAACATTGCAGTGCTTTTGCTTAGCATTTTGTAGGTGTCCAGCTGCACATTAGTTAGCCACCTGATTTGATAAATTTAAGTTTTACTTGAATATGTTTCAAAACTGTGATGGTAATTATAAGATTCTATTTATCTAATGAAGGTTGAGATTAAAATTATTTACTCATTGCAAAGGGTTTATCTAACACATCTTGTGTTCTAAACACAGAGTACTAGGGTGAATTGTTTCTGCCTTGGAGAAGTTCAAGATGTTGGTGGCTGAGATAGATGCACAAATAGGTAGATAGAGCAGAAGGTACTTGCCATAACTGGGGCAAATGAAAATACCTCTCAGCCTGCTCTGAGAGGGTCATGCAAAAAGAAATCCTCCTAAGTCCAGAAATGTGCTGAAGGTGGAAGAGAGGGAACATTAGGCATTCCAGTGACATCTTAAGTGCTAGCAGGCCGCATGGGTGGGTTACACATAAACTGGAAACAAAATAATATGTATATGTATGTATGTATGGGTATATATATTATTTTTTGAAAAGGTCAACTTTAAATAGTCTTGTAACAAGTATTTTCATTCTGTTTTTGATGACTTATCTATACAAAATATATGTTTATATCACTAGAATAATTCTTAAATTTATGTGGTTGTTGGTAAGGCATATGCCCAGAGACCTATTGTCTCTATTGACATGTATGTAATAAAGCATTGTAAACTCCAAAATTATTAATACAAAAGAAGAATACTGTTACCATAGCATGCCATTTAATTCTTATTACAATGTTTTTGAATGTTAATGGACTGCTTTTCCCATTTTATTGTTTCCATTTGAATTCTAGGCACATTCAAAGCAATAATCCACCCCCACAGCCCCCAGTTCCACCATTAGGTTACGTGTCCGGAGCCTTGATTTCTGATTTGGAAACAGATGTTCCAGATGATGATGCTGATGATGAAGAGGAAGCTTTAGAAATCCCCAGGCCCCTGAGAGCACTAGACCAGACACCCGGATCCAGTATGGACAATCTAGACAGCTCTGTGACAGGTAATGGAACTGATTTAATATAAATAACTGACCTATTTGCAATATTGAAATGCATCAAAAATCAAGTACTTTCTTATGTAAGATTTATTCCACTCCATCTATTTCTGTAACATTTTTAATATGTTAATGTTAAACACAAAATTCAAAAAGGATTTGAAAATACTTTTGCTTTGCTGCAAAAATGATAAGAAAATTCATGAATTTTAAAAAGCTTTAAAGACATGAAAGAAAACTCAATTATAGTCATGGCTTTCATGAAAAGTTCACTGTGCTAGGGAACCAAGTCTATTACATTAAAAAAACTGAGTTTTAGAAATGATATATTTTGTATATCAGGAGGAACATACAAAATGAATGCAATCTTAAAATGCTTCTTGATATTTCACTCTGTAAAACCATTCACTGATGAAAATAAGCAAGTCTTCAGAAAAAGACTCTTCAGTTGCACAAGGTATTATTTTTATAGTGGAAAATGCATAGTGAGATAAACCATGCATTTATGCATTTCATAGTGTAGAATAGAATCCAACAACTTCCCCTCTTCCAAGAAGTATATTTATTTTGACTATTTACTCCTATGGCTTCTACTTGCCTTGTTCACCAAGTGAAAGACTTCAATTGGTACCCTCCTCTGATGATTCCAGGACTGATGTGTAACCTATGTCCAACAATTTCAATTGGAAATTTTAAAATCCTAATATGTACACAATAAATATGGTGAAAAGTAAAAATTCAGTATTTCTGTTCACATAGTTATACATTCTTTGATACACATACAAAATGCCTTTTACAAAATTATGAAGACCTAGCTACTCCAAACTAAGCCTGATCTTTGCATTTCTTTAGGATTTCTAAGGAAACTACACATATCTGTATTTTCCTTGATGACACCTTTCATCCTAGAAAACATCTTATCACAGTCTTAATTTCCTTTTAATCCAACAGCTTCCCAATTCTACAGACTCTGTGTTCCATATTAGTTCTGCAAACACCAATGGAAACTGTTTTAGTGCTGAGAAAACATGAGTGCCTGCACTTTTCCTGTACAGCCCTCCCTGCATGAGGCAGTGCATGATGCATGAGTCCACTATTCAGTTTTCCTTCTTGCTTGACGGCTGGTCAGCTTGCCAGGCTAATTAAGATTTAAAAACTGCAGATATACTGGTGTGATTTGAAACCCAGATCCAACCCAGGGTGACAGAGCAAAAGTTAAAATCTTTGAATTCAGAGAGCTGACTTATTAGTGCACTATTATGTTAAGCCTATTTGCCTGAATTTCTAGCATAATCTCCTTAAGGGTAAAATTCTGCATATTTTTGCATATTTCACTAATGATACTGAACTCTTTTTTTCCATTAGGAATGCAGTAAAAATGTGCAATAATGATGAAAAAAAAGTCAGCTATGCTGATGTAGTTCTTTTATTAAATATTATAATGACAAAGATGATAAATGTATCTATAAATTGGGAGAACACCACCCTGCACTTTTACATGCACACCTGTCAGGAACAAGTAAGGATGTCTAATGTAGTCTACTGGTTAAGATGTCAAGTTTGAACGTCTTAAGTAACCTGCATTTCTCCTGTTGGTAATATAATGTTGATTCCGAATGAAGCTCTTATTGCTAAGAAAAGAAAGTCTATTTTCCTACTTGAATTCACTGCTTAATTACTTCTGAATATAGAAACCTCAGGGTGTTTAGGCATGAATTCCACAATGCACTTATCCTATGAATAATACATCTCCTTAGCAGAAGTTGTACTTTACACTTAAGCAACTTAAGCACCTCCCCCATACACATTTTTTTGTCTTTCCAAGCACCAGTGACTTTGAGGAGAAAGTTTGATCAAAGATTTGATTTGCCTTCCAGTGTGTGTTGTGTGTCTGTGTGTATGTGTGTAGGAAGTGTGAATGGGTATATGTAGGTATTAGTGTGACCATAGGGGATGTGAGTTTATTAGTGTATGTACATGTATAGGGTGTAGAGTGCATGAGTATAAATGTGTGTGAGAACAGAGAAGATTGAAAGTGCATATACAGTGTCAGTGTGAATGGGGTGTGCACATCTATACAGGGTATGTGCATGTATTACACAGTTTGCAATTCTATACAGTTTGTGCACATGTGTGTAGAGTGTATGGTATATATGTGTGTATGAAAGACAAGGCACAATGTGTGTGGAGTGTGTGTGAGTCTATGTAGCGAGTGAATGTATTTGTGTGTGAGGGAGAGCAAATAAGATATACATGTAATTGTGTGTGTACACATGCCTGCTCATATGCTCAAGTGGATGTTTATGTGGACCAAATGTTATCAAAACCAACATGCTAATGAATATTGTCCTAATGATGTTCTTAGGTTTTGTTCAGCTATAAAGCTACTTTAATAGTGCTAATTGAGATAGGCCATAATACACATACTCCTTCAGTGAGCTTTGGAGACTAGAGGATTCTGAACTTACCATCAGTTACTTAGAGTTCTAAACTCGCCTGTGGTGTAAATTAATGTTTACTTTCAACTGAAATTCCCTTATATTGTCATTTTCATGAAGCAAATGACCATTTTGATTAAATAGAACTAACAATTTCCATTCCTGGAGACTCTAAAGCCCATCCAGAATGATACTACAGTCACATTGGGTGGGCTAAAAGCCTTTATGTAAAATTACACATTTTACTTGGCTGAATTGTACTCCCAACTGCCAGCTTAGGGAATACTAGCCACTAACAGTCTACAGAGCTTTATTCTGTAAAAAATAAAATGCACATTAACTCCAAATATTTTCATAGCAAGTATGTAGTTTGTGAGTGGCTACTTAAATCTTGAAATGATCATCAAGAATGAAAAAGAACAAAAATAAAAGAAAATATCAATAGTTCCATATCCCATGACCTCAGTAATGGTAATATGTATTTGCAAGTCTCCTGTTTCATGTATTTATTCCCTAAACAAACATTTATTTTAAGCCTATTACTTCTAATCACTTGAATAGACATTTAGATTCAATAATAGCAACAACCAAACAACAATAATAATAATAAAGTAGAAAACCTAGCTCCTAGTCGATGCATGATACCCTTCTAAGCAGTGGCTTGTTTTTCCTGTGGCTGGCTGAGCTAAGAATGGATTTACATGTTAAAGTTTGTAAAGAAACAAGACATAAGTAAGAAATCAGAACTAACGAATGCATGACAGATGGTGAAGCCTAAATTATTTGGTTTCTTACGTTTGTAGAAAGAACTCCCTGCCCTGATGTAAAGTTTTACCATCTACTAACTCATTTAATCCTCATAACCTCATTATTATTGTTGCTGTTCTCAGTTTATAGCTAAAGAAATTGAGTCATGGAAGGATTTAAATCCTTTTTCAAGGTTATCTACCAGATAAGTGGAGAAGAATGAACAAAATCAATCAGTTTTACTCTAAAGATAAATTACTATGATCTCTGCCCTGGAAATGCCCAGTTTATTCTAATCCTCAGAATTAGCATATTGAAGAAGAAAATAATGTTCTGTTTTTTTACTTCTCTCTCTCTCTCTTTCTGTGTGTGTGTGTGTGTGTGGAGAGAGAAAGGAATAAGTATGTATTTATAAAAATAAAACATGCATTTTATCCCTGGAAACATTAATCCTTTCCCACAATGCACTTAATTTTGATAAAAATATTAAATTTTGATATGACTTTTATTATTTATTCTTCTCACGTTTAGCTCTGTGTGCAGTTACCTTTTTCTAATAAAATTCAAATCCATCAGCTCTTTTGGAAGGAATATTATTTTTATAATTTTTATTTTAATCTGCGCTTAATACTATTTGGTTGTAATAATGTACATTTTTTAAAAAATTTCATACCATCACACTCCATTTGGGACTAGGCAATGTCTATGCAACATTGTTTTGGGAAATGTGTACTTTTTCTTCCTCAATGTTCAACTTGTCAGCTTTGTTCTCTGAGTACCAGAGAGGGGCAAGGCTTCAACATTTCTTTCTCTAACTTCCAAAAGGTGGTGGGAGTCAAGGATAAGTGTTTCCTGAATTTAATGACACCACCATGAAAAGAAACCAAGGCAAGAGGAGAGAGGGAGAGGACAATGTCCTGAACATGTAGTCAAGATTCTAACCGCCTCACTGATTACAAAAAGACCCAGATTGAGTGTTGTAAAGTGAAACGAATAAAATTTTCCTTGCCTGTTGGATCCCACATGAACACTACAGCTGAAAGGAAATTGTGGCCCTGTATTTTCCACTTTATATCTTTGGAGGTTTTTACTGGAACTCCCATACCAGATGAGTATGAAAGTAATAAAATCAGACATCCTCACCATCTAACCTGAGCACACAGCTTTTGGGTCCTTGGACTCTGGAAAGTTTGATCTGACAGATGGTGAAGCCTAATGGCCTAACAATTTCTCTCCCTCACACACAAATACACTCACTCCCTACACAGACTCACACACACTCCACACACTTGCCACACTTTGCTTCTGCTACAAAAGCATAATAATTGAGTATTAAGGCAAATTCCAGGAATAATGCTAAAATTAAGGAAATAATTTTCTGATGTCTTTAAAAAGAAATTAAATATATACTTTGGAATTTAATGGATAAGAAAAGTGCATATTTTATGCACAATTTTTTGAAACGAGTTAACAAGTATTATATGAACCAAAGGAAGAGATTTTTTAATTGCTTATTTTGCTTTTCCTATATGACACATTTTTCTCCCTCCCTCCCTCCCTCCCCCTCCTTCCTCCCCCCCCCCCCCTTCCTACCTCCCCCCCACCACTTTCTCTCTCTGGAATATAGGTGGGACTATTGTATATTCAGATATTTGAGTGTAAAAAGAATTTCCAAAGACTAAAAATGTTTCTCTGCCTCTAAACAGAGGTCAATATTTGGATTGATTTTATCAAAGACATTTAGAGTTGAAGATTTTACTTAGCACGTAGTTAAGCAATGAGAACTTCATAGGGAGAATTTCAGGATTAAATATTGGCTCG